AAAACAAACTTTCTTAATTGCTAACTAGTTATTTTTGTTTGTGCGTTTTTTAAGAGACATGGTCTCACTATGTTGCCCAGGCTCGAGTGCAGTGACTATTCATAGGTGCAATCCCACTACTGATCAGCATGGGAGCTTTGACCTGCTCCATTTCCAACCTGGGACCATTTACCCCTCCTTAGGCAACCTGGGGGTCCCCAGCTCCCAGGTCACCATATCGATGCCAAACTTACTGTTGTCAGCTGATCGGCATAGTGCACTACAGCCCAGAACTCCTGGGCTCAAGCAATCCTCCTTCCTCAGCTGGGACTACAGGCATGCAGCTCCGTGCCCAGCAATTGCTAACTAGTTTAATCTTTTCCTTTAATAACTGAGAAACAGCAAAACAAAACATAACTTGGTGATTTTTTTGATCAATATAGGAAAAAAAACAAGTTCATAGTTAGTATTCTTTCATGTGCATGAGTACAAGTTAAATACAAAGAGACTTTCTTGCTTTATGCCTTCATTTATAAGATAAAAACCTTGCATATCACAAGTAAATGAAAATGACTGCCTGCCAGGCTATATGAAAAACAACAACAACATATGGTTTCATGAAAGAGTTCAATGGGGATAGTTCACAACAACGTGCACCTGAAAGAGAAAAACTTTGATCAGTTGCCTCCTGCATGTGCCCCAACTGGAGAATTGAACCTGAAACCTGGGCATATACCCTGACCGGGAACTGATCTTTTTGTGCATGAGACAATGCTCAACCAACTGCGCCACACTGGCCAGGACAGACTGCGTAGAATTATAAAATTTCTACAGTAAATCTAATAATAGTATTGAAGTCTACATACAGTACATATCAGGACAATTTTATAGTATTACAGACCTTTAAGACCTCAAAGGGCTGATGACGTTAGTTGGCATTCCATTTCTTATAAATCTAAATAAAGCCTACTGAGTCTGACTGGTGTGGCTCAGAGGTTGAGCACTGACTATGAACCAGGAGGTCATATGCCTGGGTTTTGGGCTTGATCTCCAGTAGGGGGTGGGCAGGAGGCAGCCGATCAATGATTTTCTCTCTCTCTCTTTTTTTAAGTCCTCACCCAAGGATATTTTTACTACTGATTTTAAGGGAGAGTGCAAGAGAGAGGGAAAGACAGAGAGAAACATCGATGTGAGAGAAACACATCGATTGGTTGCCTTCTGTAGGAGCCCCAACCAGACCCAAGGAAGAGCCTGCAACCAAGGTCGGTGCCCTTAACCAGAACTGAACCCAGGATCCTTTGGTCCACAGGCCAATGCTCTATCCACTGAGCCAAACTGGCTAGGGCTGAGCC